AAACAGATTACAAGGTGTGAAGCTGTACAGTTGAAACGAAGAAGATGTGATGAGACTGGAAAATTAAGACGGCGGAGAGAGAGAGGTGGCTTTTTCAGTTTGGTGTGAAACGGCCACCTGCACTTTGTGCAATGACTGAAGAGAGACTGTCTTTGAAGTGCAATCCGTATTTATAGTGAAGTGATTCATGGACCAAAATCTATACTTATATAATAAGAATTAACATTTATCCAAAATAGTAGGTCAAATTATGGTTAATGTCGAATTTGCATTAAATATTTTCCAAAACTTGTAAGTTTTTGTCATTTTCACATTTCTCATTAATTATGTCCTTTTCACACTTCTCATTAATTATGTCATTTTCACACTTCTCATTAATTTTGTCCTTTTCACACATCTAATTAATTCATTAATTACGACATAATTATCATAAATCATTCCATCTGAACTTTTATCGTTAAAATGTATAGCGATCTGTTACGACCTTATCCTATTGATATTTCCATGAAGCGTCCTTATCGCGTTCTATTTTTTGGTAACCACTCTATATCAATAACCGGATATTTGGTTAATGATAGCACACGTCTTTATTTCAAGGAGCAGATATTCTTTGACCTTTAATTAATCTGAACTGATTGCCTTGACTTTTCAATTTTTAAAAACTCTTTTTTTAAATATTTCGGCTTAAGATTCGGATTTCATTATACAAGTCATCGGATTGTTTGAATGAAAAGAACACCAAAAACAGGTAGCCTTATTCATATAACCAATCCTAAAATATTAGTTCGTTCACCAAAAAGAGACAAATCCTAGAAATCCTAAAATATTAGTTTGTTCACCAATCCTAAAATATTAGTTTGTTCACAAAAAATATTAGTTTGATTTTTAGGATTTGTCTCTTTTGAAAATATTAGTTTGTGATAATGAGGAGTTACCAAATAATCAAACGCATAATGTTGTGCACAAGGAGGTTTTTAATAATATATGATTGTTACCGAACTTTTTATGATTCAACAATGTTCCTATGTATTTTAATGATTTCAATTTCGATCCTAATGCACGTGAGGTTATATTATTCTTCCAAATTTTACATCTCGTGCATCGCACGGGTTACGTACTAGTCACAAATAAAATGAATAATATTTTTCTATGGTGCTTATTTGCATCCTCAAGCCACAATTCTTTTTCTCTAGCCCAAAAACATAAAGAATAATAGGGTTTATAACTTTTTGCCCAAAGTAGAGTTGTTAGAATACGATTAACCTCTGTATTTTTTTATTTTTTTTTTAAGAATAGTATGGTTAATATCTAAATTTAAAATTACTATTCGCCAAATGTTTAGAAAATAAAAGTTTTCTTCATAAATAATTTGTTTTGAAACTCTTATGATCAAGATTGTTTGTTGATTTCTTCATATAATTTTGATATGACAGTATGTTGTTCGGGATTTGAACAGCTTATTGATTTTTTTTCATTGAGAGAGAGATGATACAGTGAAAAAAACCACGACTTTTATAAAATAGTTTCATAGACAAGATAATGATGGTTTTGTTGATATAATAGTTATTGTATATTGATGAATGTTCGATGAACTATTTACATTAATGAAGTCGAATTGTCGATCTATCGATGAATATCATGTCTTTCAAATATAGCAGAATAAGTTCACATTTTGTATATCATGACAGTTTTTCTTGTACAAGGAACTCGTTAACGTATCTTTGTACTCCAGAAGTGAGATTTTTTTTTTTACTAAAACAAGATAGGTGAAATATTGTTTCTTGGCAAAATAAATCTAACCTCCATTCATAGAGTTTTCGTCAATGTCCATAATGAACATAAAACTAGAAGCACAAATTTTTACGTGTGTGCATTAAAAATAATATAATGTATGTGGTGATACCCAGGTTAAATGAGAGTTATTTGGGCACTAGTTAGGCTTAAGTCAAGTCATGAAACGACCCACAACACCTGCGCCAGGTCGGTCTCCTGGAGGCGATAGTTCAGGGAGGATCCGTACATCAAGCACGGATTGTACGATCTCCCCAGCTCACGTAAGTCGAAGATCCAACTCCACTTAAATCGCAGAAAAATATTACAATATTCCCACTTGCAATCCAATGATGACTGACGAGACAGGCACGTTGCCAACACAGGCCTACGCCCGGTAGATTAGTAGGATAGCCTGTGAGCATTTAATGCCCGTCAAATAGCATTGAATTGATGGGGCCTCGGTAAACAGTTATCAGAGAGTGTAATATTATAAATAGACAAGCAAGGGGGTTTCGATTCTCGACAAATTTAAGACGATGTACAGTGAAATACCAGAATAATTCTGCATTTAAGATAGAATCCGACCTCGTATGGCCGGAAAGTCCGACCTTAATAACAACTGTTTTTAAGCAAGCACTCCAGTTAAATTTGCTTTTTACGATATTAACAACCGATGATTAGTACTAAATCTTTTGATTAAAGTTGATCAAATCCTTGGATCAACAAGATGTTTGGGGAATTTGGGCCATCTCCAAAAGTAGGAAATTAAGTAAGATTCGGAGAAAATGGCTCATATCAAAAGTTTTTGAAATTCTGAAAATTTCCAGAGTTTGACAATCTATCATTATATTAAAAGATTAACTATTTAACACTTTTAGCAAGTTTTTCCCGCCAAATATATTTAATGTCTCCTAAAATAGAGCAGCATTAAATGTTGCCCTTAAATGTTAAACAAATATTACTTTTTTATGACTGATTTAAATTTACGTCTGTTTAAAAGTAAAAAACTACTTTTGTAATTTCAACAAATTTGTACTCTTTAATGTACGGCTGATTTAAAATTAAGAATTTTCTTTTGTATTTTCACAAAAAATCGTATAATGAAGTATGGCTGGAATAATAATAAAAAAATTAATTTGTTAAACCATATTTTGCACTCATAAATACGAACTCTCATCAAATTCAAGATTTAAAATTGTGAAGAATGTATATAGATGTGGACTGATTGAAGATATATTATTCCTTAAATTAAGGAATTTTTTCCGGTAAAAAAAATATAAACTGTAAATATAGATTTTATTAGTAGTGTATACCAAAGAATATTGTTATATTTAAAATTCATATGAAGAAGAATTCTATTCATTTTCAAATTCAACATCTCATAAAAATAATATAATACACTTTTACATTCTATGAAACAATATTTAAAACCCACCGTTCAACATGCATAAAATGTAAAATTACCTAACATGAATCATTTCAACTTTCTAAAATCAGTACACAATTTGCTTGGTATGTACTAATAGTCTAATAGTTAAGAGTTAATATTTGCTATGACATCTATTGGTTGGAAAGAATTCCTTTTGTATGGAATTCGAAATAAAAAAACATATTCTGAAAATCAAATCTGATTTAGAAATCGATTTCTTAATGGCCTTAAATTATGCAATATAAGTTTCAGTTTTTAGGATTCTTTTTTATAATCTCAGTCTTTGCATTATATGAAATCTATACTTATATAAAAAGTCATCCTATATACTAGAAATAGTAGGCAGAAAATTCAAAGGTAATTAATGATTGCTGGAAATAGAATGATATTAATTACAGATTTGTTTTGAGATTTATAGGCTTGACATTAAAGATTTGTTATGGGATAAAAATCAGAACCGATTTTTTTACTTTTGCTGGAAAAGTCAAAGGTAAGTATAGATTTGTTTTATCCCATAACATCGGTTTAGTTAAGAAAATCCAATCAAATCAGTTTTATATGTCAAGCCTATGAATAAAGATTTAATCGGTCAAAATTAAATCCTTATTTTACGTCACCCATAAATAAAGTAGATGTCAAGCCTAAATTGAAGGGTTTAGTTGTCTATATAGCCATTGATTTAAATAAATACATCTAATGTTTAATATTTGTGTAGATTGAAAATTCCTTCTTATCTTTTTATAAAAATTCTTATTATTATTGTATGGAAAATCAAACTCATAATGTTGTGTACAAGGAGGTCTTTAATAATATATGATTGTTTGGTTGTTGAATACTATCTTATTGTACAATTTTCCTGCGTATTATAAAACTTTTATTGAATATTGCATCTTATAATATAGTATTCCTCAAATAAATATATCACGTGCCTCGCACGGGTCACGTATTATATATATCCCGTACATTTTTCTGTATTCATGCATATAATTATAAGTCTGAATAAATAGCCTTAAAATTGTGCACCCCGTGTATCGCACGGGCTCTGCACTAGTTTTTGAGAATTGATGTAGTATTCAAAATTTGGATCCATGTGATATTTGTTGAAAATTAGAAAAAATGAAAGTGATGATAAAATTAATAAGGTATGACTAGGAAAAGAGTGAAGATAGAGTAATTGCAGTAGTGTTACATAACTTATCAAATGTGATCTCTATTTATAGAGAATGAAAAAATATGAATTTTAGTTTTTTATTTTTTTAATATAAATTCTCGCCAATAATTTAAGTTATCTTTTATCTTATCTTAAAATTAATTTTGACCAATAGAAATGGGACAAGTATTTCATTCCTTTCCTCCTCTCAAAGTTGCGACCCAATATCATAATGTGACCTGGGTAGTGAGAAAATAAGCATTTTTTTTCTGTATCCGGCCAACCCTTAAGGAAGGTCACGGATAAAGACGGTCTAAAAGCTTAATACAATTTCAACTTTTGAATTGACAAATGGAGTAATCGAAGAACAACTTGCCTGATATGAAAATTAGGGCAAACATAGAAATATATGTGAAACGCAAATGTCTATGAAAATTTATTATATTCAATTCCATTGGTTTGTATAAGTGTTTAACATCGTTAGTATCCATATATATAAAATTGTAGGCAATCCAAGCAATCAAATAAGTTTCCCGCTCTTTTTCAATTAATTGTAGAAGAAAATTGTTACATTTGACAATAATGTGTAATAATATTTTAATAATTTCATTATATAA